GGGGGGGGGGGGGGGGGATGCATTGGTGGTGGTGGTGGTGGAGGAGGAGTCGAGCTCGCCGTTTAGCTGTGGCTTCGGCGGGCACAATCTGTTTCAATCGACAGATCGACAGCACTTGCTCCGTCCAAGCTTGGCGAGGTTGGCACAGAGGGTTTGATGTTTGTTTGACCTCTTGGCCCTCCCCTCGCGCACTTTTCACTTGTCGGCCCGTTTCCCCATCATAGTTGCACGTTTCTGAATTGTTGTTTTGAGCACGTGTACCTAATGAAACGCCCGGTGGCCGCGTCCTATCTCATTGAGGAGGTGGCCAAATAAATCAGTCTTGGCGCGCCACTTGTTCGGTTTCACGGGCATTTGGCAAAAATAAAGTAGGTGTGGTGGTTGTTTCCGCGCGACTCGGGATGCATTCAGCACATACGGTCTTTGCCCGCACCATACTTTTTTTTTTTCGCTCGGTGTTTTTTTTTTCTTTTTTTTCGTGTGGTTGTGGCGCCGTGGCCATTACCTTTTGTCCTTCCTTAGCGGGCTCATGTTCTACCTGGAGCGGGTTGAGGAGTGTGACGCGGTGACGTCGCGCGTTGCGTGCGGCAAAGAAAGACAGCGATGAAAAAAGTATCCTACGGTTTTGTCTAGATCTTTTACTGGGACGTTCGCACGCGTGGATTAGTAACTGGGGTAGCTTGTGTAGGATTTGTTTGCAAGCAGAAGAGATGCTGAGATGGTGCATTTCGATGGTGCTTCTAGTGGTGCTCTGCAAGCCAACCATGAAAAGCTTCGGGCGCAAGATGGCTGACAAGCTGGTGGGTAAAATGCGGAGACGGTGCGCTAACGAGGGGTGGGGTTGAGCGACCTGCGACATTTGTGTGCGCCCCAGCATATGATTGCAGATGCGGCAGCCTTGCTTGTGCTTGCTCTTGACAGGACGTACGTGGGTAACAAGCTACCATATGGCTGCCTTACAAAGGCACGGTGTTGACTCTTTGCTTGATTCATTGCTCAAGTGTATTTGATTGAACGGTGCACGTATCGTGTTCCAGGTGCTCTTGACTTGCCTTGCCTACTGCGACGCATGTGCTTGGTGCACGACAAGCATAAACATATACTCCATACCTGCTCTCCTTTTCTTTCCAAAAGGTAGACGATGAGGGGACAGACGTTCGTATGTAAATACACTTGAGGCTTGGCTGCGCCCGACATCATCGTGCGTGGTGGATGCGAATCGCGAATGGGAAACACTGCAACATCCGAACATATCCTCGTCCCATCGCAATATCATCGATTGGCATAGAATTGGCCGAACACAGTCGCAAGGAAGCGACGCCTCGAGCATCATTGGTCAACCAACGCCCCGGTGAAGCGTTGACTGCGCTGTTGAGGCTACCGGCATGCACGTAGGCTCAATCATCAAGTGACCTGGGTAAAGCCGGCAACCGTTCGGATTGAAGTCCGCTAGGGGGCAGTTCGTTGCCGCCTTGTGTTTTGATGCATCCTAAAAAAAGAAAATCGGTGTTGTTGTCGATCATCATCAGCATGTGATCAGTGTTTTTGTGGCCGCTTTCTTTCCATGTTCTTTTTCTGCTTACAGCAGTACACGCGCTCAAATATCAACATAAAAAAAAACGTTCATTGACAGTCACTAAGCTTCCCCGATGGTGGGGAAATGCACCAGCTGAAAACGGCGAAAGTCCTGCTCTGCGCCAAGGAGCTACAGCAGAATACGCTCAACAGGACCGCCACGTTTGGTTCTTGAAAGAAAGGCAAGAATCACCGAAAACACATAAAAAAAAAAAACCTTCGTGTGGGACTACTCGTGATCATATCCTGTCGAGGACGGCACGGACGGAAGCCTCCGTCAAACATGGACAAATAACTCTTGCTTCGCCTTTCCATCTGGAAATAACTGCTGCGTCACCATCTCCCAGCGAAAGGCTCTCGATCTGATGATTCTACCACGTGGAGGTTGACTGGCGCGTTGAACCAACCAACCTGTCACCGACACGCAATGGCCACTCAATACCACCGACTGCTCGTTTGTGTACCCACTTCGTAGAGAAGGGAATCAGCAGCAGTCAGTGTTGCTGCGCACACCCTGTTGAACACTTGAGGTGATTGACAACCAATTACTAGCTGCACACGTGTTACAGCAGTAGTGTAGACACCTATTCGAAAACTATTTTTCTACCGGACGCAACCAACCCCTACATCACACTACGTGTAGGACGGCTGCTACTACAAATCATACCTGGGCCAACCCTGGCCAACCCTACACAGAGTCGAGGTTGGCCAGCCAGCCACACGCCTACAATAGATCAATCGCGAACATCCTTACTACACTGGGTTCAATGGCAACTACTTCACTCTCTCGACAGAAATCTTCATGAAGGTATGTTTTGTCCACTGCGTGAAGGGGAGTCGCCCAGCTTACATATTTCTGTAGAAAACATACACCAGAGAGAGCGTCGACAGCCAAGCACAAGGTCGGGAACCGCACAACGTAATCATCCCTAAAACTAGACTACTTTTAAATGTTACAAGACACACGGGGCGGCAAATGTTTCACACAGAATTTCATTATTCAGAGCGAGGACCGCCCACTACAGGAACAACAGCGAGCAGCTGCACCTCGTCATGATGTTTCTGCATGGATGGATGGTCATCATCAACACGCGCACGCACGCACAACAAGCGACAACAACAAGTGACAACCCAAATCACCTAGACTAGACTGCATGGCTGTGTACATTTTTGTATACATTTTTCATCCCACTCCTACCTGCTGGGGGGGGGGCTTGCAAGACGTGGGGGAGAGGGAGCGGCAAACACAACGAACCGAGGTAGTGGCGGGAGAGCCGGACACACTTGTTACAAACCCGTTCCTTCGGCAACTAACTGCAGCCCATTGAAATGAACTAAATACACAGAGTCGAGATTCCTTTGAGGCCGTTCACGAAAGCTAGACCGCCGACCACCAGAAACAACGAAGCGTACCCGACGAAACCAGCGGGCATCCTGCGAGACACATCCTCGCCCCTCATCGACAGCCAGTACGTGGCCCTACCAAGCCCCCACGCCATGAGGGATTGGGCCGCAACTATGGGAGAAAAGAGCGACAGCAGCAACGACATACCCAAAAACAGAGGCGACGAGTAACAGCTGCCTTGCGCTGCTCCGGCGAAGCTCCGGCTGAGAACCGCCAGGGCCCCTCCCTGCACCGGCTCGGGCTCGGGGGCTGCAAAGAGCTTCGACCAATCCGCCTTGCGTGGCTTCGCCCCCCACGCTGCCGTCCCTGCGGCAGCTGGTTTGGCATCGGCTGCCGTGCCCCACCCACATGCCGCCTGGGAGCCGCCGCGGGTCGTCGTCGTCTTCTTGCCGCCGCCGCTGCTGTTGCTGCTGCTGCTGTCCCCACTAGAGTACGAGGCGCTCCTCTCCATGCGGTTCCTGACTTGGGCCACCTCGCCAAGGATAGTCTTCGAGCGGAGGGCCGGCGGCGCGGGGACGAAGGCAGCCACGGCGGACGCGACGAGGACGACCTGGAGGATGACGGCCGCGGAGTGTTGTTTGGTCATTTTCAAAGTCTGGAGTGATGACCCTGTGTGGCTGACACGGGTGATGACGATTCTTGATTTAGCCAACAGAGAGAGGGGGAGCAAGTGGCAGGGTCGTTTTGTGTTGACCTGGTGTTGGTGTTCTCACGCTGGGAATGGGAGAGGGTGGGTGCGTGCGTTCGGCTCGTCTTGATTTGTGACGCGCCTCGGAGGCGGATGGTTTACATGAAACTATGAAACGGGGGTCGTCACCGGTTCAACGGCTCGATCAAAACCCCCCTCCCTCACCATTACCACGAACAGGTTCTCAGAAAGTTCTCGGACCCGGATGATTAGCTCTCGGAAAACTCCAATTCAAACGTGGTTCCCTTTGCTGCTGTGCATATGCATAGATACTGCTCCCCCTCTACTGGTGAAGCCCGTGTGGAAGCTTGTCAACTGCTATAGACGTACATGGGAGGATGCCACAGATCCACGTCATCGACACACTTTGTGGTGTTTGCTCGAGATGTTCCACAGAAAAAATTATCTGCGCCACGGGTGGGTGTGCCATCAGCCATCAGAGCTTCCACGTTGAAGTGAAGAGACTTGCTACAAGCAGTAACTCCGTAGTACGGGGGCCAAGTCAGCTACAACGGTGTTGGATAGAAATCTCGCAGAGTTGTGGCAGATATTCCCTCTGACAGAATAAATGTCCTGTGCATGCCCTCGATAATATTGAAAAAGGTGTCACGTCTTGAACCAATTCCGGATGGCTACAACAGATAGATTGTAAGTAGATGTCATACATGTAGGTTAGAGAAAGGCCAAGCAGTTCTGAAGAGCCCGTGATGTGAATGAAGCTGACCGCTTTCTTGCTGTTTAGGGCACCCCACGCGTCATCGGAGTATATCACGAAGAAGGAACGGATCTCAACTCGAACTACAGCAGTATACCTGTTGGTTTCAAGCGTAGCTCTGTTCGCTTGCCAGACTGCACTCTGCGTGTCCTCCGTAAGTCGGTTTCGTTAGCCCCAAGCACAAACGACACACACACGCACACCCAACATTGCTGCACTGCTCACGCCACCTACATGCTCCCCTCTTCGTGTGAGTTCAATCAAGCCATGATGTCGACGTGCGTGCGTAGAATGTACACGGATTCCAAACGATAACATATTTTTCGTTTTCGGACCCCTGCACCAACCCCACCTCATTACCGCATGCCGTCAACCCTCAAGTATATTTAGCTCTTGGCCTACTTCTCTTGCCAAATCCGACACCATCCCAAGTACCGGCCGCAAACTGTAGAACTTCGTGCTACGTACACCGAAATTCGCAGAACAGATGAAAAGAGGAGCACCTGGCGGGACTCTGCGCACAACAACGAAGCCTCTTCGTGCGCGTAACACGAGTGTGGCCTCGAGCGGCCAACACAAGCGCTACGTGGTAGGTGCGGTGCCGACAACACGAGGCGACGGACGGATTGAAAACCCTTGCACAGACACTGACGGGCGCGACCTTCTTCGGCACAAGAGCGACACTCTGAAAAACACACCACAGCAGAAACATCTCTCATGAGCCACCCTCGCTAAGCACGTGCTCTACCAACAACCGAAAAACCGTAAGAGTTACACACCGAATCGGCGGGCCGGGCCAGAGAGGGCGGCAGGCAAGTGTAAGAGGAATTATAGACGGCATTCCCCCGTCTTGTGCTCAGTGCGACTAAGTCCACGAACATGATGTCCATGTTCCGTACCAATCCGAGAAATACACGACACTAAGCAATCCGACGGTTATGTGACGCACAAGCACAAGAACAACGTAACGACACCAGAACTCGCGGAACAGTACAAACGTACATCAGCTACCGCAACTACGCCAGACCACCTTCAAGTTTCCCGCTTGCAACGCGCATAACAGGCTTTTCGATCGCTCGTTCTAGTCGTCGCCCCTTCGCCCCGCCTCCCCCTCTCCCCGTTACTCAAGTTCCACCGTGGCTCCTACCGCCTCTAGCTTGGCCTTCATTGCCTCCGCCTCATCCTCCTTCAAGTCTTCCTTCACCACCTATGTTCATGTTAGCACGCAACGAAATCGATGTTAGTTTCAAGTATGGAGGCATTATGCGTCGGGATCCAGGCCACGAGATAAAGGGGGTGGAGCAGACCGGAATGACACTGCCAGATAAGCACCACCCACGGCCTGAACTGTAATCGTAGCACGAACGCTAATCGTGCATAGAGCGTCAGAGGTAGGCATGGGGTCCTCGGGGTTGAAGTTCCACGTTGAAAATTCCATGCGTGGCGCGAATTTTCCAGAGGAGACATATCAGGAGACAGCACTTCACGCGGGGCGCAAGCAAGAAGGGAGTACTCACGCGATAAGCCTTCTAAGGAGGACTTCAATGATCGGACTGCTGTACTATGATCCATATAAAAATCGGACACGCCTGTTGCAGGCAGCCAGCCCTCTGTAATAGGTCGTCCTTGCGACGTTCAGAGAGAGAGAGCTGGGCTTCATGAATGCAAACTGGCCTTTTCAGTTTTGTGGAGGGAATTGGGGGCGATCACCCTTGCATGGTCGCTCTCGACCAGCGCCCCCCTCCCAAAAAAGCGGGCGTTCGGCTCCCTTAGCTTGTAGTTAGCAACATGAACTATTGAGACCTGGCACCATGAGTGTTCACGCACAGTTTACTAATGAAACAGCGCCCTCTCGGTACGCTAGTAGATTTCAAACAATCACAAAAACAAATCAACGACATTTCGCGAAAGGCGTCTGTCTCTTGCGAGTAACAGACGCAGACGCGCGGTGATTGCCTTGCTCCTGGGGGTGGCGCCAGTAGACTTGCAGGCGGCAGCAAGACACCGACCTTCACTAAAAGAACGCTGCCCTTGCAGAAGTCGATGCTTTGTTTAGACAGAGAGAGAGCAGCCAACGGCTGTAAGACATGCTCGTCGAAGAAGTTGAGTGGAGTCATCCGCTCACCTGGGGCAGGCTTTCCACCATCTCCTTGGCTTCCCTCAGCCCAAGACCGGTGATGACTCTCACTTCCTTAATCACCTGACAAGCAACGACAAATGCAAAAGGGAAGCCGAGAGGAGGGCGATACTAAACCCACACACCAAGGAGCGAGGTGTTGTGGATGCATATGCCACGTCCTGCGGTCGTTGAAAAGGACCGACGGCCAGCTTGAACGACGCAAACATGTGACGTTTCGAAGGCACATTGTGGGCCGTTCAGTCGGTCTGCATGCGAAGCGAAACCAAGTTTCTAACGAGAGAAACGTCGGCAACTTTGACAGGTCCGCTCGGGTATCCCCATACCTCACGAAAGACGGGTTGAAAAACGCGTGAAAAGTACGCAGAAGGACGTTCTTTGACCGCCGACCCGAGCAAATGGTCAGGGCACGCCCATAACAAGTCAAAGTCAACCACGAAGAAGCCGAAAACAGAACAAGAACAACAGCCGTCCGTTGAAGGCCGCCACCATCACCCGCCACTAATCCACCAAAAATAGTGCAAAGAACGACGGCAGCAACAACAACTCCAACAATACCACCACAGGGCAACCACCACCAACCGAAACCATTTCGCCCAGCACAGACCCTAACCTCACCGGCCCTACGATTACCAAGTCGCCCCTGGCTAGAGGAGGTGGTGCTTGCCAAAAAAAGGCAGCGAGCAAACCGGTACGGCCAACACCCGCACCTTAATCTTCGCCTTGTCGCCGAACCCGGTGACCTTGACCTTGAAAATGGTCTTTTCCGCGGCGGCGGCGGGCGCGTCCTCATCCCCACCGCCAGACTCTCCGCCGCCGTCCGCGCCCCCGAAGCTTAGTGTGGGAAGCTCATCCAGGCCAAGCTTGTTCTGGGTGTGGTGAGAGGCGACGAGCGGCACGAGGGAGAACCACAGAGCAGCAGACGTTTCACGCCCTTGGAAATGCCACTTCACAAGCGGTACTATAGGAAGCCTTTCGGTTCGGCCGATTGCGCTGCAAGGGAGGGAGGGAGCAACCGGTGCTCTCAAGCTGGGTTGGACACAAAACACGACTGCCCTGCTGCCGTTGACAGGCTTGTGCCTTACATGTCGCCGTGATACGATCCGTGTCATCGCATGGCACCAAGCTTGTGCTCTACCACCACAACATTCTCCAATTCTTGCGCACCATGACTCTACCATCGCGTACCATACGAGATAACACACCCGGTCATATGATGTTTTCCGCTCAACATCGGCCCAAAACGTGTAATGCTCTCTGTATATCAAGTACTAGGGTGACAGCAGATATTACCACAGCAGCCGAAACTCTTTTTTCCAACACCACAAACGTCATAACTATGGTGTACTGTAACTTCTTCCTTACCTTGAACAGGTCGATCAGCATCGCCATCTCGACGAAGTTCAAAGACTCGATGCTCGCCATCACCTCCAGCACCTGTGCCACCATCACCATCGTTTTCATCACCGGAAAACACAATGCGCACATAAACATCACGGGGATGGAATGTCAAAAAAAAAACTCTAACTTCTAATCTGGCACAACACGTGTTCCGGGCTCTGAGCTCTTGCATCAGCTCTCCGCTACACCCCTTTTCGGTGGGCGACCACGATGGATGAAGCGCGTTGCAACAATTTTCGTTGACATAATCCATGTTTTGTCGTCGCCCCCAGCTTCTAAAACCTACACGTACATTTCGCCTCGAAGTGGAGATCTTTTACCAGTGGTCATTTTGACAACAAGTCCGGCGGCATATTTACCTGTGGTTATGAATACCTCTGTAGGGACTGCTTCAACTTTTGTTGTCGTCATGACCCCAACACCACCACGCGAAACTGCTGCTGCACCCACACAGAACCATGTAACGAGCGGTTCCCATGAAAAATGTACTTCGAATACTGCCGTCGTGCCTCGTAGCAGACGCGCTGCGAAATGTGATCGATTTTCGCTCCGATTTTCGCGCTTGCATATACCTTCACCGCCGTATCGACCGGTGCACGAGGCTCTCCCGTATATATACAGCAGCCAGCATCACGACCACTTCTATGCTACCCCCAGGAAACTAAACTCACCTTGGGTGACGGTTCGGTGACGATGGACGGGTCAAGCGGCGGCGGCGGCCCCGGGTCCCCATCATCGTCCACCATACCCCCCAGCGGGTTCTCATCCACTGTGGAGGCGGCTTCCCCGTCCCCTGATTGCGCCCCGCTGCCACCGCCCCCCCCTCCCCCCTTGTCGGCCTTTGCAGCTGGCGGCCCACTCGTGTCCTCGGTGGCGGCATCAGCACCAGCGGTGGTCGAGAACCTGACTCGGCCGCCGTTGCCATTGCCGGCGTCTGGTCTGTAGACAGGCGGGAGCCCTGCCTGCAGCACTCTTCCTCGTGCTGCCGCGGCTGCTACTGCTGGTGGTGTCGCGGCTACCACTGTAGCGCATCCTCTGGTAGAGGAAGGTCCTACTGCTGTGTGTTTGCTGCTGCTGTGTCGGAAGGGGTGCAAGAGACAGCAGTTTCACGCGTGGGAGGACGTTGGATGCAGGACTCGCTCGGGACGTGACCTTGATAAGATGACAAGGTCAAACCGAGAGGGACAACGTGAAAAACTCACTTATCCCTTTTCGACAGACGCAACGACGCCAAGTACAGGAGCTGAACCACACGTAATGCTGACAACAAGAAGCCGCTGAGCTATTACGTACGGATTTTCGCAAGAAACGAAGCTGCTTTGGATGTTGTTCGGGTACTGCTGTAGCAGAGCATGACATGTAAACCTGCGTGCTGTGCTGTGCAATGATAACTGACAGAACAAGAGCGGTTAGTCACAACGAGACGTGCGCAGAACACAGGCGATGAGACCCGAGTTCGACGACGATGCCACACGCCACACCGCGATTCTCGAGTTAAAAACAGAAGCTTCGGGACAAAAGCACGTGTGCCTTATCCGATTGCCTGTCACTTTAACGGTAGATACTCGAGAAAGGCAATCGACGAAGACACACACTGGAGCAACCAACACCGCACGTCTGTCTCTCGTAGCACGCGCTTGTTGTGTTGCAAAGCACCAACAAGAGTCCACTCGGTTGAGGACAGCACGCGCTGAAACACAAACATCCTGCTCGGAGCGCGCCGCGTGCAGCCTCCAGCTTCTCACCTAACATCTAGCCCGCGTTGCACCAGTGGCCATGCCGCCGCCGGCGCTGGCGTCCTACATCTTCGCCCCCCGCTCGCAAGTCCCCGGCACATGGACGTTGCCAGAGTCATCGTCAGTGATGAGTGATCGGCAACACAGCGCGCTGTCCAGCGAAAAGAATCCTGCGCAGCAAGAACTCACTGTGCAACTTGCAAGTTACACTACAGCTCCAGGTGAAACTAGCAGCTATCTGCTTCTTTGAGAGAGAACTACAAAGGTTGTGTCCTACTGATGTTACTTTCTCGCTCTCGCGCCTGCGCCGCGTCGCTGTGGCTGGAGGAGGGGGACTGCGAATAGGAATGGGACGGGGATGATGGGCTGGCATTTACTATCTATAGGGTGGTCTGGCGATTATTTGCCGCTGCAGGCAAGGTTATCCTTCCTTGATACAGCGGAAGTGTCATTGTCACGACCGGCCAAGCCCTGCTGATGGCGAACCCAACTCAGCCTGGAATCAAGGTCATCAATAAAGATTTCAAGCGCGATGTTAACGATACTGTGCTTTGCACAGATCGAGTCGAAGTCGAGGTGAGGCTGTGGTGGTGGCGTGCATAGATTCTGTGCAATGCAAATCCACGGTGCCACGGTGCGAACCCGAGTGCTCTTTCTCTCTCTCTCTCTCTCTCTCTCTCTCTCTCTCTCTCTCTCTCTCTCTCTCTCTC